GGGGAGATCACTGCAGAACAGTTTGTCCTCAAAATAATTCGAACATTAGGCAATTCGTACCAATATTTAAATGAGTATATTCTCGGCACATATTGTCTTGAATTTATTTTAAGTATACCAATCATTTCAATTTTATTTGTTATCCAATTTATTTTGATTCAGTCGTTGTCACAACAGACAAACATTTAAGAATTTCAGACCTGGCTTTATTTAGTGAATTTATGCATAAGATTCTACTTTTTCACAAAAATATTCAACTTTATTATTAAACAACGAGCACATACCAAGAACATGGAGAAAAAATTGACGGATATTGACGGATAATTGCTACGGATATTCAACTGTAATAGAGAACGATTTTCAATGTTGATTGACCGTTCACATCATTTGGCGGCGGCTTTGATGTGCAGCATCAACATTTTAATTGATTTTTTGGTTCAAAACCCCCCGGGGTTTAATTATACCCAGGTTTAATATACCAGGGGTAACTAAAGGGGTTCGAATATAACAGGTAATGAAAAGGTTATTATACCAGGGTTTTCATTAACCCAGGGTTAAATAAACAGGGGGCAATGTCCCGGATCGAATAACAGTTTAAAAAATTTGGGGTTTTTTAGTCCCACGATTTATAAAATACAGGGTTAATAGGGATGGTTTTATGTACCGGGGGTTCTATAATTAAAAATCGTGAATGTTGCATTATGAATAGTTTTAAAAAATAAGAAACAATGAAAGTCAATTTTAGGTCACTTTTTTAAAGTATTAGTTTTAAACAGGCATATCTTGTCATTATTATAATTTTTATTAAAAGAACCACATTTTTTTTCCATAAAGAATATGGACTATTTACAAGATTAAGTGTTATACTGCTTATGTTGAGTAAACGTTATCAATAAAACATAGTGCACAGATCGTCTCCAGTAATAAAGGGGAATAAATCGTGAGGGCACAGAATAATTCATTCATACAGCCAGGTACAGTACACGTACTTTCGTTTTGCAGTCATTTTGCATGTCTAGTTTCTTCCATAAAACGGTCATCTTGTTTTCTTTATTATACCCAGGTTTTTTCGTAATGCGGCAAGTGCTTGTTTGTGCTTGTTACTATATTTAGATTAGTTCATAATGTGACAATGTTGTATCTAGGTCCTTTTATTATTCGGCTAGCATGGTCGTTTTAAGGTACTTTCATAATGCGGCCAGCTTGTTAAGGCATTTCGATAATGCGGCCAGCTTTTTTTATTTTTGACTGTTTCATCAAAGCTAGTGTATCTGTTCCTGCATAATGCTGTCAGCTTGTTTCGGTTTTATATAGAAGTACTTTGATTATGCGGCCATCTTGTTTGTTTTGGTTGTTATATTTAGGTCATTTTATAATGCGACAAGCTGGTTTTGGATTTCATATCTAGGCACTTGTATAATTCATCTTTGTTTTGGTTTTTCTTTCTAGACATCACCAAAAGGTTTCTCGCCATGTAATTATGTTTTTTTATTAGTGTAACTTCATAATAATGCCGCTTTGTAACACCGCACTTTGGGGTCAAACGCACTTTGGGGTCCGACCCCAAAGTGCGTTAAACTTCGCACCGCACTTTGGGGTCAAACGCACTTTGGGGTCAAAATCGAGAAATTGACCCCAAAGTGCGTTAATATGCTACATATCAACGCACTTTGGGTTCCAGAGGTCTAAAGGTGTAATCTGAGTTCTGCTTAAATACTGAGAACTGACTTATTTTCGATCTTCGACATTGAAATATTTGAGGTGGAGTTCAAGATGGCGGTCAATACTTTGATGATGCTTAAGTGATAAAAGTTTCATTAATTTTACCACTTAAAATATCCAATAATAATAATAATTTGTTCATATAACAAAATTACGGTGGCATAAAAGTGACATTTGCATTTATCTTTATTTAAGTTTTGCATACATATTTTTATTTAAGTTTTGCATACATATTTTTTTCAGTTTTGCATTCATATTTTTTTTTTGAGCTTTGCATTCATATTTTATTAAAGTTTTTCGTACATTTTTTATTTTGGTTTTTCGTACATATTTTAGCCAATCAAAACAGCCTTCACATCTCATAACAGCCCATAGTTGAGTATAAAACTAGCACAGTAGTTTTGGTCACATTTCGGTCCATTTTTGGAATCGGCCAGTCGTTTTTGGCCGCGCAAGTGTGGTTTCGGCCGACCTTTTTCGGCCCATTTTTTAAATCATATGTATTTTATATAATGAGTGTATTTTTTTAAAAATTATTATCTACTATTATATTAGTGTCTATTTGGAAAGGGCTGTTGATTGGTGAATGAATATGCACCACTCAACCCCACCCCCTGAGTATAGCGGGGGGAGGGGCATTGACTTTAAACCAAGCCGACCACTGGTAAAATCTTCGCCCTGCGGGGATATTCAGATAATAACATTCCTGCCTTATGCCCCGGAACAGCGCAGACATCACACGATTCTTTTTTAACCCGCACTCCCCCGGGGCACGGATTTATGTTATTTTGTAATATAAATCCGTGCCCGGGGGCAAGGGAGGTGGTTACAAATGACTGGTGTATTACAATAATGCACAATAAAAGATCTAAATAGGTCCTTATATTCCACTGATTTAGAAAAAAATATATATATATATACATGTATATATATGTACATGTATATATCAGAGACATATAGTAGTGAATGAAAATAGAAGTGTTTGAAAATGGTGTTTTACAAATGGCGTAATTATCCAAACCTCTACTTTGCAAATGGCGTCATGTAAAATTATGTACGAAAAAAAGTAAAAAACAAAACACAAATAAAATATGTACCAAAAACTCGAATAAAATATGTATGCAAAACTAAAATAAAATATGTATGCAAAACTTAAAAAGAATATGTATGCAAAACTTAAAAAGAATATGTATGCAAAACTAAAAAAAAGTATGTATTCAAAACTAAAAAAAAAGTATGACAAACAAAAAAACAACAAAAAAATATGTACAAAAAAAAAAAAAAAAAAAAAAAAAAAAAGTATCAAAAACAAAAAAAAAGTTGCAAATGTCACTTTTTTTGCCACCGTTCAAAATATTTTAGTACAGAAATCGTGTATTCCTAAAGTTTAAAAATGCTGCGAAAAATATCCCGTTCTGTCAGTCATTTACTTGATAACTTTGGTGCCATGTTGAGCTCCATTTTAAATATGTAAGGAATGAAATAAAATGCAGTTAATATTTTTCCCCCCTCCGTAACAACCGTTCGCCAGATGCTTTTTTAATGGGAAATCTTACATACTTCTTTAGAAAGATGAATTTTATAATGTTTAAAATAATGGTATCAGAGAAATGTAAGATGCTTGTTACCTGAATAAAGTAGCGATAAATGTGAAATTATTTGTCATAAAAGTAGTCAAAACAATGTAGTTTTTTGACTTCCATATAAAACATGTAAACTACTTATCACTATAACAGTACTGTACTCATCACTGTCAAAAAGCAACAGATGAAAAAGATGGTTCAGGTAATTGGCCAATGTGTATTTTTTTTGATAATATAAAAGAACATCAAAATAAAAAAGCTGAAGAAAAACAAATAAAAGCATAATGGGCCTTTAAAATGTTATTTTTAAACCTCGGGGAGATCGATACCCCACAATCCCCTGTATACCCCCAGTGAGAATTTTACATTATTCTGAAGCTCGCTCTTAATGTGCGACTACTTAAATAGTTGATATTTTTTGACTGCCTGTACGGACTACTACTTAAAGCCGCATCTTCACCTAGTCAAGTTTCTAATGTGTCACATTTAGCTTAATGAATGGCTATTTTAACATATTATCAGGCAAATTGTTTACTGAAATGTCTTACTAAGATTACCCAGAATTTATACCTTTGTCTATGCAAAGACTATCATATTTCTTTAAAATGTGTAAATAACAAACGGGAAAATGATGCATTTAGCTAAAAACAATGGAGTTAATGAAAGGTGTACATTCTTTTAAAATAAATGGAAAATTTTAGAAAAACATATTTTAAGCTTAAAGCTGCATGCCTCCAGATGAGTCAAAATATTTCAATAAAATCAAACTTGAGAAATATGTACTACGATTATAGGAAATGTAAAATGATTCAAGATTGAAGTAATATTTTACATGTTATGTGCGGTCAATGACTGAGTTTTCAATATTTACAACTATATTCCTACTGCTTTACTAACGCATTTAGGGCTATTTATGCATATTTTGACAACATTTTGGTAATTTACGTAAGTTATAAGTGCCATTGATAATGTGCAAATTGCTTCCTTTTGGTTATTCCACAATATTATACATTCAAATAAATTTTCAAAATTTTCATGAAAATTAGCGTGAATCTGGAGGCGTGCTGCATTGATACAAATTCTTTTTTTGGTGATTTATTTTGTGAAAGTTCTTCACTTACTAATCAAGACCATTTAAATCCCTACTGATTCAGGGCACATGTTTTGTGTCTATTTAATACCATGATTTTTGTTTACCATTGGCTTTGACTACACTATATTATTTAAAACATAATGAACATAAATTTTCTCTGACCCCAAAGTGCGGTCGTTTGCCTGATGTTGAAAAATGCATATGTACCTGTTTAACGCACTTTGGGATCGAAATTGGACCCCAAAGTGCGTAACGCACTATGGGGTCCGACCCCAAAGTGCGTTACGCACTTTGGGGTTCGACCCCAAAGTGCGTTTGACCCCAAAGTGCGGTGTTACACCGCTTCAGTTTACTTGAACAATGTGTGTTCACTATTATGTATCTTCAAAAAACAACCATCCCTTTTCAGTTTATAAAGAAACTTATACAGGTCAGTCTCATGTGTTCTTTACTTCCTTGACTAACCAGTTCTGCTGCCACATAATGATGACATTTGTCAAGGATAAATGTGTACAGCTAGAGAACTCAAGGTTTCGTTACAACTAAACTAAGTAACGTACATTTGTGTAAATGATAACTAACACATCAATTAGTTTCACAATTTCATTTAAAAATTTATCAAATATATTTAAGATATGGACTATAATATTATGTAAGCATTGAACATGAATTCATAAAAAGTAAAATTTCTGTACTCATATCATATTTGCAATAAGTACTGATAGTATAATCAATATTATATATATAACAGAATGTAATTGTACATATTTTTCTACTTTTACTAAATAATATGTAATACAGTAATATCTTAATTCTTATATTTTCTAAAAATTGTCTTATCTTATATTGAATATAAAGATATGGAAAGTACATAAATACACACATATACATGTATATTGCAAGTATCAGATTGAATATTAACCGCACTATTTAAAGAAAAAAAACATAATAACATTCTACCATTACAATATCAATTCTTCAAAAAGTTTCTCTCCTAATACAAGTAACCTTGTGTGCTCTTTTGTCAGAAGGATAATATGAAGTTTCATGTTCAAAAATCACATTGACTGTAAGCTGCTCTACACTAAAATTTAGTCTAAACTATTACAAAGGCCAATAACTACAAAATTATGTCACTGGATATACCCAAATAAGATATATGTACCAAATTGTTTCAAGTAGATTGTAAACTCCAATTAACTCCAATTATGTATGAGTTGTGTTCATGCAAAAAATAAAATATGAAAAGTTACAATGCAGAATGGGCAATAACTCTGTTAATGTGCGCAAGGGAGCAATTTACCTCAATGGATTGGAACAAAAATTAAGCATTGCAGACTTAAGCGGACTTTCAGGATAAAATGTGTTGTAAGTGGGTATGGTTTTCATACACTGCAGTATTCTTAATGAGATTCCTCTATCTACGACTTTTCAGCACTTTTAAGCATACAACTAAATGTGAGAAAGCACGAAAGCCTATTATAAGGAAGTTAGGGGTTTATAGTAATGTTTTTTTATTGAGATCTGTTCATCTATGAATTTTTATTTCGAAATCATAAAAACTTCTGTAGTTATGCTGTGGAGCTTAATTAAGTTTACAAAGTATAACGGGCAGTAGCTTCATAATCAAGCAATACAGAGTTATGGATTTTCAGCACTGCAGTATTCCTCAATATGGTCATCTTCTAAAGTTTATGGTGATATATCCAATATGTTTCAAGTTATGCTTTACTAAATAAGAAGTACAATGGGTAGTTGATATAGGCAATAAACTTCACATTTATGACATTTAATCAGATATAATTTTTTTTAATTGACACCCGTCAACACTTTTGAGTTAAAATCGAAGGAAAAAAAGAATGGCGGCTGGCAAGGAGACTGGACAAACAAGCTGATTCCAGTATATACCTTCTCTACCACTTTATTGTGCTAGGATATAATTATTGTGATATTAAATATTATTAAACGAAAAAATCCCATCAAATATAACTAGAACATAGATAAACAATACATTAATAAATTATGTACAATATACAAATCAACCTATTATTGATAAACACATCTGAACAGAAGTAATAACGACTTGTGTTTTCTTTTATGCTATGAAGAATGTTATATAGATATATACATACAGTCAATTGTAAATGATGATAACTCCGACAATACTGCATCGGTAATTTTTTTCCATATTAATGTTTGTATTATTTAAGTACACATCTGATGCAAGATTAAGATAATGTTTTCTCGCAGAACCAAATGTGTAGTTTTATATTAAATTCCTTATAAAGATTTTAAATTATGAAAATTTAAATATTGTCATGTATTAAAACTTTGCTTAAAGGGACTCCACTGAGTTTTTTAACGTGACGGTGCTGGAAATAATTTTTCGACATTATGATTAATGTCCCATTTGATGTAGGACTAGAGTAATAACTTGTGTTCATAATTTCAGATCATTCCCTTACTTCGTTATTTCAAAATAATTATTTTAATTGTGAAAAATGACCCAAAATTAAAAAGAGTTGCAACGCTTTTCACTCAAATCGGGTTAAAAACAACATAAAATACTATTTTAAATTTATTTTGTACTGTTTTTCTCAATTATCTTTTGCATCTCGTTCTGTTTAAAGTACCCCAGTTAATCTATGTAAGGAATTCAAATTTCATGTTTTGGGGCTTTTGTACCTTAGTGGAGTTCCTTTAAGAAATACTGAAAGCTTCGGTTATATCAATGGACAGACGCTAGGTCAAATAACATGTTGAGTCATTAAAAGTAATGATATATTTTTATTTTTATTAAGATATAACCATTAGCAAAATGCAACATATCGTTTTTGCCCTTTTTGTTGTTGTGTGTATTAAAGCAACCTTTCAATTTTTCTTTTTGTAAGCATAAAAAAATAGAAAAGCAAAAAACGTATACTCATCAATAATAAATAATTTTTTAAACATTTAATGCTTTTTTTCAATGCTAGTCATTATATAGAGATATGTTTAACTATTTCACTCTAAAATAGCGTAACATAATCTTATATGTACATCAACTTAAATAAAAACTATTTAATCATACTTTCGTTAAAATGAATTGAGCCTCGCCATGACAAAACTTACATAGTGCGTTTGCGACCAGCATGTTTCCAGACCAGCCTGTTCATCCGCGCAGTCTGATCAGGATCCATGCTGTTCGCTATCAGTTTCTCTACTTGTAATAGGGTTGGTAGACGAACTAAACGAACAGCATGGACCCTGACCAGACAGCGAGGATGCGCAGGCTGGTCTGGATCATGCTGGTCGCAAACGCACTTTGTTGGTTTTGACATGGCGCAGCTCAGTTGGTCTAGAATGGAAGTAATGCAGTGTGTTGAAAAGGTGTGTGTGTGTTATACAAACAACGTTTTCTGAATGAACTCTTAAATATTTGACAACGACCTTGATAAATCTTTCTTCTTAGGTGTATTTTTTTCTTGAAGAAAACAGGTTTACGGTACAAACAATTTAAATGTTTTCTGGTCTGTTAATGTTTCAGCTAGGAACTAGTTCAAGGTGTTGGTGGTCAACTCTTTTTTATATAAAAAAATCTTTTGACACGTTTCCATAAAGCCAGGAACCAGGTGTTAACCCTTTTTATAGAACTCTCATCATTGTCACCGTAAATTTACTGAAGCTGATTTTCTAAAAAAAGAGAGAAAAAAGAAGAATAAATGAGTGAATCGAAATATTGCATTGTGTTATTCAGGATAATAATATATTTTATGTGTTTTATGGAACACACATATTTAAGATGAACCAAATCCAAGTAAATCCAAATCTTAAACTTCCGTAAGCCAGGTAACTTGAGTTATAGCAAATAACTTCGTTATGTATTTATTATAGTGACGTGTGTTAACATATTTTACAAATAATATTATATAACATATTAAATACATGCAGCCAAATGGGCCTATATGTCACCTTCAATAAATATGAAAAATTTACATAAAGTTATGAGTGATTATTTTTACAGGTTCATTTGTAAAAGTGAAAACAATATGAATAGAATATATTTAAATTACCCTTTATATGGATCATTATATGTCCTCGACCAGACATACGAGTAGAACCAAGAACATTCCGTAAGCAAACTTAGAATTGAATAACACACCTTGCGCCGGGGCCATCTGAAATGAATTATTTAACTTAAATCATATTTGTTCGATTACCAATAGAACTACGGGCCTTCTGTAAGCAAAGTAAATTTAATCATTTAGACACATGTTGATATTCGAGTAGTCAGCCAAATTATTAATATAGACATGAGCTGGTTAGTTCAGAGTAGAACCTCGGGCCTTTCGTAAAGAAACTGAATTGAACAATACATATCCCCCCAACAAGCTGTCATGAATTATTCGAGCATTAGTTTTTATTCGATTAGAACCAAAGACCTTCAGTAAGTGAATTCAATCATTCAGACACAAGCTGACATCTGAATAGAAACACTGTCTGTTGTCTGCCAAGTGAATTTAACTATTTGACACGAGCTGATATCCGAGTAGAACCACGGGCCTTTAGTAAGCTAACTTGCACCATACTTCGTATAAGAGGTCTTAAACTCAGTTGGTATTAAAACTCAGCTTACAGAACTTGGAGTAAAATTTTATATTTTTTTCAACAATTTCCCTCAGAACATTCGTTCATGAATTCAGGTTGAATGAAGCCATTGACATTTGCAAATTTTCATGGAAGCCGTCTCCAATATTCTGTGTTACTACCTTTATTTTGGACTTTATTCAGCTGTCAATCACAAAGATAATTTGAAGGCTTACCTTATCAAGGAAGGTACAAGGTTATTTGTTGCACACATATCTTCTCAAAGTGATATATCACCACGCAAATCCTAAAAGTAAAATGTCACAAGAGATTTTGCATCACAAAAATTTTGATCCAAGGCCGCTGAAACAAGAAATAAGACACGAGATTAACGTATATCGTATAAATGCGAAAATTTTGCAAAACAATGTCTTATTTGTATCTAAATAATGTTGATGAACAAGATCATAGTCAAGGTCATATTTGAATTACTTTTCATGTTAGTTTTGAGTTTTGTTATAATATTCCTTTTGCCAAAGCAATATAAATAAATTACAGAAGTCATTGGTTGATTAATAAAATCAACAGTTGCTATGGAAGTCAGTGGTTGCTATAAAAGTAATTTATTGCTTGTTATTGAAAGTAATTGACTGCTTATTTTGGAAGACAATGGTTGATAAGTAAAAAGTCAATGCTTGCTATAAAGGTCGCTGGTTGCTTAGGAAATACAATGGTTGCTATGTAAAGATAATTGCTGCTTTTACAATTTTATACAATTCTTGCTACGTAAAGTTAACGGTTGCTATGGAAGTCACTACTTTCAATGAAACATTATTAATTGCTATGGGAATTTCAGGTTGCCTAAGAAAATCAATGGTTTGTTGGGAAGTGACTGGTTGCTATACAAAAGCAATAGTAGATATGGAGTAGTTGCCTTGAAAGTTTGAAAGATTCATTGGTTGTCAACGGAAAGTCATACAACTATCGAAGCAAACAGTTGCTAGATTAAAAAGTAAATGCTTGCCATATGGAAGGCGCTGGTTGCTATGGAGAGTCAGGGGTTGCTATGGAATGTCAATAGCTGTTATTGAATATCTTTGATTGCTATGAAAATTACAGGTTTATGAAGAAAATCAATAGTTGCTAAGTCAGTGTTCCAATTGTCAGTGGTTATTATGGATGTCATTGGTTTCTTAAAGAAGTCACTTGATTCTATGGACTCAACGATTCCAACGGATAGTTAAGACTTGTGAAATCACAGGTTGCTAAGTAGATCCAATGAAACCTTTGCAATTCAATGGCTGCCTTGGAAAGTCATGGTTGCTTGAAATTCTCTGTTTGCTTAAGAAATTCAATGGTCGCTACTGTACAGAATTGCTATCAATATAACAATGGCTATGTAAAGTAGTTCCAATGGTTGTAACAGAAATTATTAGAGTATTGTTCACTGTTAATAATCTATTTTAGTTCTTACATATTCAGGTATAAATATAAAGATAAAACATTCAAAATAAAATCACTTACCTGTGAGATATTTCCAAATCCTAATGCAACTTTTATATCCAACGAGTTCCTCAAAACTTCCTTTAATTATTTTTTTATCAGTTATTTTTTATCTTTAATCAAATGTCACTTAATTTATCAATTGAAAATGGAAGTACATATATGTCATAATTAAAGACTACAGTATAGTTTGAAGAGTCGTCATTTTGTTTCTTATTGTTCATATTTAAATTGTTTTGTTTATTTGAAATTAGTAGCATAGAAGTAAGTTTTTCAGTTTATTTAACAATGTTTTTTCTTGTCTATTCTTTGCTTGGTTTTATTGTTTTGAATTCAAATTTCCACGAGAGGTCTCGTATCACATTAAAAGATTGTGAACTCCGAATATCTTCTCTTACACGATCATACTCTGTTTCCGGTTTAATGGCAGACATATTTACTGTAACTGATTGTGGCAGATTTTCCAGCACGGTAATAAAGTTCTGTAAACCCCCTGCAGATATTTCTGTATTCCCAAACTCCACATCTTCAATATTCAACATGTCACGTGACAGTAGCAATGAACTTTCATCTACATTGATTCTCCACAACATAACATTAACTAATGACGGTGTTGATATATTTAATTGTAGCCTCCCCGGTAGGACTTCCAAGTGTAACTTTGATAGAGTTGTATGTTGAGACAAGTCCAAGTCCCATCTCTTACAATCATCGCGGAGATGTTCTTGGCAGTCTAACTCCCTCAATGTTAACGCTTTCATTGATTTTTGACCTGAGATGAAATTGAAAAATGTTTCCAGTATTTTGTGAGATAACTTGATGTATCTAATATCTAAATATTGTAAGTTTTGACATCGCGCCAAATTTTCACTCTGATTTTCTTCATCATTTGTCCATTTACCATGCCACAAAGTTACGTACTGCAAACTGGGAACCAACATCCGATTTATCTCAGACTCATCCTTGTCACCCTCATAGTAAAGTGTCTGTATATGACTGTGAGAGAATAAATCTATAATTTCACTTAAACTGCTAGCAGAACCGATGGTGTTTTTATGAAGTGATTTTATGTTGGTTGTATTTTGCTTTAACAAACGTTTGAACTGGCCACCTTGCTCGGTATTCTTGTCAATGAAGAAATCTTGTAAACATAATTGAACATTGTCACTTTCAGGCATTTCCTGTAAACACGAAATAAACATTTCCTGTATGTCATACAATGGAGAATAGTACATGTACTGGCCACCTGTCCTAGTTCTATAGTCGCGTGTTGTCTCGTCTTCATTTATCACAGACATTAAATCTTTTGATATTGCACACATCCTGTCAGGATTCATTTTACTTATAAATTCACAAATTTTTGACATGTCCAGAATGTCTTGAATATTTCTACAATTGTCTAGAACAATTTTCTGAGCGCCACTGTGAGAACTAATAAATATTGCGGCAAAGAATTCTTGCACTGTTTTGTGGGAAAACGAAACTTTGCTATACTTTTTTGTTAGTGTTTTGGATGTACTTTCTGACAACATTCCTGAGTGAAGAGTGAATTTCATCTCGTCTGGTGTGAGATATTTTCTAGCAACTGATCCATCAAATACAAGCGTGTTTTCTTTTGTTTCATTGAATAATGTATTATAAGCTAGTTTCCCTAAACTCATCAGGAGTGGGTAGTATTTTGTACAGTTTTCATATTCAGCAAAGCATTCTGGGATATCACCATCAGAAAGGTCACACAATTGTTGAAGTTTTTTATGCGTCTGAATCGTTCTTGACAAGAGCATTTCTACAATATTTATATAGAGTTCGCATTTTGAATTTCCTATTTCAACACCGTCGCACCATAAACAAATTGTATATTTCAACAGTAGAGGCATAGAAATAAGTTGGGCGTTTTGTCTACCTTTTATTCCTGATATAAACGCTGAGACATCACTTTGTAAAGCATCCTTATTCGGGTGAGATTTCAATTTTTGTAACATCCTTTCTGTAAGTGTAACTGCTGATTTGTAACTTAGTTTTGAAAGTTCTACCTTTTTTCCTATTTGAGACGAATTTAGATTCAAAACGCTTAATTTCCATGGTCGCGTAGTGGTCAGTATTGTACACTTTTCTCGGTCATTCCTATGGGGGATTGATGGCGGCGATCTGTGACAGTCTTTCTCAGGATGGGTCCATTCATCTAATCCATCAAGTATAACGAGGCATTTCTCATTTGTCAAAATTTTAAGGTGAAAATCTCCGGAAGGCTTTTGTTGTAGACCCAAATTTGAGATAACCTTTTCAGATATAAGATCATCTATAGAACATAAATCGTTCGAATCTCGCAGTAAGACCAGAAATAAGAAATCAAATTCCTTCATACAGTCTATATCATCCTTTTCTATAGATTGAGTCATGTCTTGATCTGGAAAATGAGCTTGACACCACGTGATCGCCAGATAATTTGAAAATGCAGTTTTTCCAAGACCAGCATCAGCAATAACATGTATTTCTCGGTTAGCTTGATTTCCGGTTTTAAACATCGCCGATAACGATTTGACTGGTGTTTTCTCTTCATTTCTCGTCTGTGCTGAGATAAATAAGGTCAATTCGGGTCTTATGTAAAAAGAAGCCAAAGGCGTGTCATTTTCTTGAAAAAGGGGCGAAAGAAAAACTTTACTGTGTCTCGTTTTGTAGAATTCAATCAAACCATCTTTGAGCTCTGATAAATGAAATGTAAACTATTAATAACTCGGGAATTCAAAATAATAATAAACAGACTTTCAACTTTTGACGCATGCATAAAAAATTAATAATAATGAAAAAAAAAATGTTCGTAGGGGATCTTATTTTTTAGTATTTATAACCATAATTCTATTGCGTTTCTTACGCAGTAAAGGCTATTTTTTATTTTTCGATCTCATTTTTGTAATTTACAGACTTGTGAGTGCTGTTTGTAATGCGTAATTTGCTTCATTAAGTTACTTCAAAATATTTTACTTTTAAAAACATTTACAAAAGTTTCATGAATAATTAAACTTTAAACTTCGATGTAGTCTTAAAAAATAATTTACTATGTAATAATTAACAGTGTGAATAGAGTAAAAATTTACAGTACTTCAATTATTGTTTAACACTGTTATACGGATTCGAAGTGTATGCTTAATTAATATAAGTATCCATTTTTATATGTGTTCTATTCTGCATATTTTTACTGAGATAAACAAAAAGGGCCAGAATCTAAATACCAGCATTGATTTTGAACCAAGACGACAGTTTTTTGCCGAATGTAATCAATCATTCAATGGAAAGGGGCAACGGATTTCTACAACCCTTTCCATTCAGTTAAGAATGTAATGTAAAAATACACAACTATTACAGCGACACAATAATGTCCACAATTTCATTTTAAAAGACAAGAGAACAAATTTGTTTGGATATGTGTTCGTTTAAGCATGTTGTATTGAGATAATTGAAATGGGTCTCGTTCACCCGAGAACCATTGTTAGACAGGTTAAAAGTTTAAAATGCACATGTGATGTAAACATGGAGACTATAGAATTGAAGTAAAACATACAAGTCATCCGATTAAAAATGTAGACTTTTTCAGTTGTGAAGCTGGCATTTTGGAATTGTGCAGATACATTTTTTTCCAATTATGAAGAGGCGTTTTTTAAGTTACTGATATATGGTGAAAAAGGCAAGAATAATACATTAAAGTTACATTAAAGCCGCATGCCCCCAGATAACCCTACATATGTGAATAAAATTAAACATAAGAAAAGTTTTCTAAGAGTTTAGGAATAGTAAAAATAAATAAAGATTTACGTAATAATTTACATGTTATGTGCGATTAATACGGTGTTCCGTTTGGACAATCGTGATTTTTCATTTAGTCTGTACCCGCTATGCACGATGATACGATGGTGAAAACGCGATGGCACGATGGTACGATGGTGAAAACGCAAGGGTGCGTCGGTGATATCGCGATGGCGCGATAGCACGATGGTGAAACGCTATTTGACATTGCGTTTCTACCATAGTAACAGCGCAATTTCACCATCGTAACATCGCGTTTTCACCATCGTACCATCGCACCATCGTGTTTTTATCATCGTACCCTCGCGTCTTCACCATCGTGCCATCGCGTTTTCACCATTGTACCATCGCGCTTTCACCATCGTGTCATTGTGTTTTCAACATCGTACCATCGCGCTTTCACTATCGTACCATCGCACTTTCACCATCGTACTATCGCGTTTTCGCCATCGTAGTACCGCGCTTTCACCATTGTACCATCGCGTTTTTAATAACTCGGTTGTCGTTTATCATAAAGGTTTAAGCAAACATGACAAATGTAAAGTTATTTTTATTTTACCTGAACATTCACCATTTTTTCCTGGATGACCATGATGTCACTTTAAGAGATTTAGTTACCTTATAAACAATGAAAACAAAATACCACGTATATCTAATATCTATGGGTTACAACTTGATACATAAACTGCTATATATAATAGTATTTGGATCTTTACTTTGACAAAGTGTCTGTATAAAAATATTAAAGACAACTATAGTTCCTAAAAGCTTACCATCAGAGCAATGTGCGATCAGAAAATCATCGTGAATTTGGAGGCATGCAGCTTAAAAACTTACATCTGTTAGGATTATGACACTGTATTAATTGATGATTGTTTGGGTTAAACGGCATAATGACACAAATCTAGCCATACCATGCCGAACACTTTATAAATAGTAATATATCTGTTCATTTAAGATTATTAAAGCTTAAGAAGGGCTAAAAAGGGTTACTTAAAGTTTAGAATACATGTATATATCCTTTAGTAGATGATCAATGTTAAGGAGGGAATTATGTGAAGAAGTTGTGAAAGTGAATTTACTCGGTAATATCTATCACAAACTGTGCAAGATCATAGCATTCAAGGAAGAAATGTTTAGCAGTGAAATATTTATTGCAACCTATACATAAAAGAGCATAATCGCCTGTTAAAGAATGAGAATGTGTAACTTTAGTGTGTCATGTTCAACATCTTAGAAGAACCACCTGATCATGATGGTTTATAAGATATAGAGATGGTGACACGTTAAGGTAGGGATTTATATCATTTGTTCCAATTTGATAACCATTCAGATGATATAAGTTTACTTATTGAAGGTAAAAAATCTCTATTTTGGTAACAGTATAGTATTTAAGGATTCTTTAGCCAAATCATCTACTTTTCATTTCCTGATGACTTGGTTTTTAATATATCATTAAATCACAACAAAAGCTTTGTTATCACAATTTTATCGGATTTTCTACTTTTGATTGATACTAAATGGGACAAAGAGTGAATCTGAAAAGAATACAGATTATTATGCACACGGCTTAATCTTTCAGCAGTAAATGTAGATACATTATCAATCTCGATGTAAAATGATTTTTAAAGACGGTTGCACATACTTTGCGACCATCTTTGGAATCGTCAGTGCAAATATGAAAAAAAATCTACATGTTATCTTTGAATTATTTTCAAAAATGTTCTTAAAAAATTTACTTTTAAATTTCAAAGACTAATATTCTTGAGAAATCCACTGAGAAACAAGAATATATTTTGAATCTCTTCGAATCTTTTACACGAAGGGGATATCTTCCTTTAGTTTGTTTAAAATATTGATGATATAATTTGGTTTAAATATAACTTTTCTAGCATTACGTTCACTATTCGACGATAATCTAGCTGCATATTGAAAAGAGCGCGTTTTCTCAGAAGTTGAACCATACCATACCAGGAAATTATTCGCCAATCTATCAAATGTTTTGCAAAAGTAGCTTGTAAGTGAAATTGGACGGCAATTTATCCTAACTACAGCTCCTTCCGAACTTTTAGGAAACATCATTTCAAATCATTTATTTTCCCTATTGTGATTGTGTTGGGATTGCACAGAGGCAGCCTATTGTCATTGCCATTATTTACATTATGGTATGTTACCCCTACCCAATTTTCGCGTTGAGTAAGACAAAAGAAAAAAAAACAGAAATTGTAACAAAGTTTTGTAAAATGACAAAAGTTTACCAATTGTTGTTTGATACATTTGCTAGCTCATTTGAAGCACCAGGAAAAAAGAGAAACTTTTTGGTAATTAATTCGATTTCTTATACATTTTTGCAAATATAAAATGGCTTGAAATTTGCTATTCAAATCTCTTTTTTATAAAAAAGCTGTTTATTTAAGAAAAACAGTCCATTTACAATATTTATATTTAACAAAAATGATTACAATATCTTATTTTTTGTAGTTTCAACATACGAGTATGTGAATATCTAATAAAATTCAGCCGCCATTTTGCCAGCTATTATGAATTTTGGGAACCAAATTGATTTTGAGCTTTGGGCCTTGATGTAATATGATGGGTAATATATCTGACTTTTAATATACAAAGTGGTTTGCTTGTAGAATAATCTGAACGATTCTTGTTTTTTACCCTCGGATGGACTCTAACTAACAGTTTAGAGCGAGATATATGTATCTATTTCATAATGTATAGGGTCTATTGTCATGGTGTCTCATACAAAAATAGAACAAGATTGTATTTGTTAAAAAATGTTTTGTCCTCGCAATAATACAACACTACTCGTAAATAGTAGAAATATTTTTTTGTTTCTATACAATTGATCTTTGCTATTATGCAGTACTGTCTAGAAACTTTGGGGGTCAATTTCATATTTCAGCATGTCGAATGAAAGACAATGTGCATATATGTCTACTGTTCAATAAAAAAGCCTAATAATGTGCTATATATTGATTCATATCCCTTCAAAGTTGACATCTCCTTTGCCAAATGTCGTGATGGGCAAGACATGAAATGATATTTCATAAAGATCTCTGAAAAAGCTAACAGGTTATGACCTTTTAGTCTTACCTTATTTCATCTTTTTTTCTTTTCAGAAAAATTGCATAAAATGTACACATGTATAAAAAACATTACAATGTGAGTTGTCTTCCTGACATTATTCAACTATTATTTGAAGAAATACCGTTGCCTGGACATGGGATATTTTGACCCCAAAGCTTCTATTCAATAACCTTAAAAAAGGTTCACTAGACATTGTTTTTGCTAAATATCTTAGCTCTAGCGCTTGTAGATTTGAAGGAAAAGATTAAAAAAAATTCTCTATACAGATAAGGAAAACACATTACCCCCGGCACGGGGTCAAATTAGACCCCATGACTATAATTTGAACACACTTCTTCTTTCTTATAATTTCTTATGGTTGCTATGGCAATCGGATTCCTTATTTAGACAAATTTGGAAGCCCTTTACCAAAGAAACAATCCTAGCAAGTTTGGTTGCAATTGGACCAGTGGTTTATAACAAAGTGTTTTTTAACAAAATATTTTAAAAGTTTACTTTATAATTTATTACACACACACGTACACACGCACGATTCTTGACAATTAAAAGAGTAAGGATCGAGAACTTGAAATCAAACTCGGTATACAGCAATCATACGAATATATGAAGACCCAAGTTAGGATTGTATTTGGACCACCTACCTACAAACGAATGGAAGCGATTTCTAATATCCTCTTTGCTCTTGGGGAGATAATAACATACCTGATTTAGTCTTTTCATATTCTAACTGTTTTTGTTGAGCAGAATCTTCTACTTTGAGTCTTTGTTTCTCCTACAACAGAAATAAAACAAATACGTGGTACCTTTGTTTTATTCGGAAATTTTCAAAAATGTTTATTGCATTATGTATTATTGTAATGCAGTTTTTGTCCCAATATTTAATTGAATCATTACTGATGAAGTGCTTGGATAATTGAATTTCCTTCATTGAAAATCAATCTTATTGCTATGGACATTTTTTTTATTCCTTCAGTTTTTTTGATCATCTTTTATGCCATTGTACATTATTCTAATAAAGATCCTGTAACACACATTTTGTTTGGATTTATATAACAAATATAATGCTTAAATCAAAATTTATCAATTTAAGCATTATTTATAAAGATATTACTGAATTTAACATTTCATGTAAAATAAAAATATTTTCTATAAAGTCTGTCAAATTTTTCAATCAGAAATGAATGCATATATTTTAATGATTACATATAGTATGTACAGATAAATGCAGTATATATTTTACATATTCTTCGATGTTTGAAAATTTTTCATTAAGCATAATTATATACATATATATAATTTGACTCAACCTTAATTACAACATACGCCTCTTTTATTTTATTTATTTCTTATTTGAAGTGGTCTTTAGTTAACAACACTAGATTTGAGCTTTCTCAAAACAGACAAAAAATGCACTAGGAAATATTTGAAAACTCACCGGAGTTCAATGGATAGAATAGTCATAATTAAATTCATTGAGTGTCTTAAAAATAGTCCACGAATCAAACCTGTAAAGTTTGGTCAAACTCTTCCTTAAGATAAGTTGCTTGACAAACCAAGGATTACAGCCATAGTTCCAAAAGGCTATAACAACCGTTCTCCTCTGAGTACTTTATGATCAGTTGAGATGAAAACAAGAATAAAACGAGGCATAATTGGTCGTCCTCAGTCAAAGTCACCCAAGTTGAAAATCCAATAGAGGAAACTAAAATTACCGCATAACATGTATACAACAACAAAAATGTCGTGCTGAACGATCTTCAAGGATCGAAAATATAACATCATTGATTAAATGTACGGGGAGACTTTTTACAGCCGCCACACGGCACAAATAACACGGATGTGACAATAAAATAGAGAAAAACAGAATCCCTAAAGAAAGTCCAACACAACAAAATTGAAAATGTTGCAGGCTCGGTTTAAAGTCTGTCAAATTTTTCAATCAGAAATGAATGCATATATTTTAATGATTACATATAGTATGTACAGATAAATGCGGTATATATTTTACATATTCTTCGATGTTTGAAAATTTTTCATTAAGCATAATTATATACATATATATAATTTGACTCAACCTTAATTACAACATACGCCTCTTTTATTTTATTTATTTCTTATTTGAAGTGGTCTTTAGTTAACAACACTAGATTTGAGCTTTCTCAAAACAGACAAAAAATGCACTAGGAAATATTTGAAAACTCACCGGAGTTCAATGGATAGAATAGTCATAATTAAATTCATTGAGTGTCTTAAAAATAGTCCACGAATCAAACCTGTAAAGTTTGGTCAAACTCTTCCTTAAGACAAGTTGCTCGACAAACCAAGGATTACAGCCATAGTTCCAAAATGCTATAACAACCGTTCTCCTCTGAGTACTTTTTGATCAGTTGAGATGAAAACAAGAATAAAACGAGGCATAATTGGTCATCCTCAGTCAAGTCACTTTCCAATATAAATCACCCACAGCATGGTCCTTTTTGACCCATGATTTTGATTTACAAATAAGGCAATGAACTTAATATGCAACATTTATGTCATACTGCCGCACGTTGGGCCATTAATTATCAATGGGCATGATATATATATTAGTCCTGGAGAGGACAACAAGATGTAATTTAGGGTTAAAACATTAAATATGCAATTCAAGGCATATTAGTTTCTCATGAGATATTTACATAGCTCTTCTTAAAAGTGTTACCTTATGTGACCTACTTCTGACTACTAGCGTTTGTTTATGCTCGAAAAAGGAACATTTCTAACTCTAGTTTTTGGTCAGGAAACCATTTCTCTATTTCTAACGTGACCTTGACCTTGACTCCAGGTGATCGAAACGCAACCACAACCAGATTTCTACATAAGCTTGCTATATACGTGGTTTGATTACAGTAACTCAATCAGAACTCAAGATATCGTCCATAAACCAAAAAGTGGACCGACCGATCAACACACCGACCGAAAAGATGAATTCAATTTGCCCCCTAAACTTCATTTGTGGGATATAACAACTCTGATAAGTGACCAGCCAATGATCATTCCTTTACTTTAAAATCAAAATACAACATCAGTAAATAAGCAGATGTTTAAAGATATTGTTGATGATGCACGGCAAACTGACTATGAGCAAGTTGTGCTAAAGAGAGTTAAAAATCTGAATAAAAACAGACAACGAGCATCACGCAATCACAAAGCTTGTGTTTCATGGCAAGCTAATAATACTTGTCTTACATACAATAATTATTTCTCTTAAAACAACGGTGGTATGCAATACATGAAATGGTATATCGACTGGAATCAAAGTTTGTACCTCTTTTTCTTCGGACATCTGTGTTTCAAGGACAGTTAATCTATTTTCAAGCCCCTCACATTCTTCTTTAGTTGCAGCATTTTTGGTTGCTCTCATAAAGTCTTCAAAGCCTTCAGTAGTAATTATGAAGTCCTTCTTCTTCAACTGATGAAACATAACAATTTTATGACATTTTGTTTAAGAGGTAAAAATGTAGCCTTTTGACTTTTGACATTTACACTTATCTACAATATATTATATAATCATACTAAGACTTTTCTTCATATTCCTAATAATTCAATTATTTTACAATAATTGTTCCTTTATTTTTCTCTCATATTTTTTTCCGCAGGACTTTTTTAAAATCCGCTGTTATAACAGGATATATGATAAAGGTATATGATTTTTTTACCTTGTACCTTACCTACTAACAACCAAATATATTTTGTTTTTTATTTTTGTTGATATTTAAACATTTTATATGTATTGTTATTTGATTTCATAAATGAAAGCTAAAAACTTTAGGCAGTAGTTTTTTTTAAATCTGACAAAAATGAAACCATTCATTAGTAACACTTACATCTAGGAGTTTCCCGACAGCCTGTTGTGCAGTTGGATAATTTACAAGCTCCTTACTATCTTGTAGCACTGCAATCATATCATCAATGTATGAATTTGCGTCTGTTTCCTCCAACTTCATACTGCTTGAGTGAAAAATCTCATTTCGAAACTGTCTTACCTATTGAATGGAAGACGAATCAAAGTCGAACATACAAACATGATAATACTGTGTTCAGCAATGATACTAACTAAGCTTCTCAAGTTGTCAAATTGTCGTTGAAGGTTTCTCTGTCAAAATAACTACATAAGCCTCATAATAAAATGGACATATTGTCACTGAGCATATATGAGCTAAAACCTATTTAAATTCAATAAGACAAAATTAAGTTTAAGTGTAAGATTAAGTTTTTATACAGCATCAAACTCAAAAAGATTATCGTCACCATTAGGCAGTAAGGCTAAACTCTTATAATGATAATATTCTACAATATTAAAAATAAACAAATGGTATACAAATAGATTTACCTTTGAAAACAAATTGTTTGGTCCTGTTACATTGCATCCAACGTGATTATGAAAATATTTGTTATTGATGATAACATGTAGTAACCCTGAACAATCTACGTCGACTGCTGACGTCTTGTCGTTGTACCCAGGAGCATTAATAAAACATTTACAAATGCTCCATGGGTCAACAGACCAATCACGGGCATCGCTGTTTCTCCAAAAAGGTGCTGGTGGTATTGATGCATGATTCTGTATAATGCTGTCATAGATGGCACCACAAACGTTGTTTGGACAGGGTTTCTTATTTGGAAAGCAACAGTTACATTTATCTTGCATGAGAGGACAAATTCCTTTTGAGACTCGGACGTGGTCTGGCTGGAGAGTTGTTATCTGACAGGCGCCACATGGTACATTTGGTTTAGGCGTCTTTTCTCCTAGAATTTGGTTTATAATATCTTTGTGCTGCAGCTTTGCTATGTCATCACAAAATTGTGCGAGTCCCTCTTTAAGATAACCTAAGCCTAGGCCTGCCTTGACCCACTGCCGGTAATTGTTGTTTTTTAAATGTATCTCGTGCGCCATCTCAATATCTAGAAAAAAGAAATGTTTCCGATAAAAGGTTGATACAGAGATTTATCATAATCAATCATGATAGTTTATTGAACCAAAATGTTACACAGAGCACAGACACTTGGGGTTTGGAGCTCAAAACGCCTTTAAAATCCAAATAAAGTGCATATTTGTCAATCCCAGCACATGTACTGATCATAAATATAAAAAAACTTAATATAAGCCGTTTTGAAAAAAAAATCATATTTCAACATCTATAATATGTAAATTCAAACGTGGCCCCAGCTTTGCCGTGTGCAAAATGCGCAGCACTTTTAAGTTTGGGAACCAACATAATCGGATGGCTTCGTACATAGCCGACTGGAGATGGGAATTTATCGAAAGATGTCGTAAATGGAGGAAAACGGCGATAATCTTGATGTTTTTTTTCGGCTGTTGCGTAGTTTATATTACCATTGAAGTTTAAAATTGACCATATTCGTGAAGAATTATATCTTCTGTGTCGATGGACCAAAGGATTATGTGAAAATATTGGAAATGGAATAAAATACATGGTGATTATGACGGTAGGGGTGCGGATTTTTTCCGGCGAACATTTTTATCTTGTGTATTATTATAGATGTTGAAATATGATTTTTTTTTCAAAACGGCCTATATTAAGTTTTTTTTATATATATGATCAGTACATGTGCTGGGATTGACAAATATGCACTTTATTTGGATTTTAAAGGCGTTTTGAGCTCCAAACCCCAAGTGTCTGTGACACAGAGCGAACGTCGAAAATTAAGTTCATCTATAAGCCACAAAAACCTATAATTTATTTTGTCATACTTATTAACAAAGGGAGTAACTCTTAGACTATCTGTTTTGCTTTATTGATATGGATTTGGTAAACGATACAGTTTCTTTTGTTAGAAGAATTTAAGACTTGGTAAGAAATCAGTGAAAAAAGCACCACTATGGCGGACAAAACACCACCGAATGTATATTTGTTTAAGAAATCAAATATAATCTTTCAATTAGGGTAAAGACCCAATCAAGAAACTTTTATCTTAAATGTTGTTACGATACTATATGACATCGACGGTGGAGGCAATTTTGACAATATGTGCATGATTCAGAAAACTTTATAGAGCTCTACTAGACAATGCTACAAAATTCAACACCAGGCGAGGTCCATGCTCGACCTTTTCTTATTTCTAAAGATGTAAGTTTAACCATAAGTGTTCTTTTCTCTAAGTATTAATCAAAGTCATGACATTTAAAGAAAATTTCAATTATTTGAGCTTGACTGTAAAACTCAACAGAAATATAGAGGTCATATCCGAATAATTCAACATGTTGGTTTTGTCATGTGTGTTCTTTAGTCAAAATATGAATAAAGCAAATTTCAATATTGTGAAAGCTCAATTGAGACTTGATGGAATACGGTATTTTTTCATATGAAAACCAGTTTTATCGTTAGATGTCCCATTCGTGTTTAAGGACGTTTCCGGGAGTTTTCAAATAGACATACAGGCAAAATAAAAACTGTTCAATACAATTTCTTTAAACTTGGCATGTTGTTAGAATATGATAACACAAACATAAAGAAAGGAGTCTTCTCCTTATAGATATGAGAGCAACAACTAAATAGGTACCGATTTTCGGTCACAATGCGGAGGCATACATGCTTTTTCCATCCATTTGTTAAAAAAAGAAATTCCAACATTGCACATCATTACCAGGTCTAAATGAATCCTTTACATCTGAAGAGTTTATACCATTCTTACTGTTGTTCAGCGTTCGTTCACCGGAAATAACCAAAAAAAAAAAAAAAAAAAAAAAAAAAAAAAAAAAAAAAAAGAAGACAAATTTAGCTTCACAAAATTGTTTAGTTTGGACAAATCGTAAGAAATATATTGAAATATAACATTGTGTGAACCCGATGAAGCCTTTTTACTTTCGTTTCCGATGTATTGAGGGGCTATTTTCGGTGAACGCTGTACAAGAGTGTATACGCATGCTGTCCGTGTCATCCACTTGACACCCTCCATAAAATAGTAACGAACAAATTTAAAAGCTTGTAGTAAATCTACACAATACTTTTAAAATCGATATTTTTACTTTGGAAACCGAAAGTGAACGAAAAAATGTCATCGGATATTATAATGTCATATTTTTATAAACAAACAAAAACAAGAGCACCGCTAGGCGGAGCATTATATGCCCGAAAATTATAAGCCTTGAATGAATAAACAAAAAAAATTGTGACTTCTGTAAAATAGCCATCTTCTATTGTACTCATTTATGAAGGAAATACAATGTATACATAAATTAAAGAAATTGATACATAAGCACATGGAAATAAGTACATGTATTACCTCCTTCAAAAAGCAATTCTCTTAATAGCAGAAGAACCTTCACATATATATAAAGTTGCTGTTTCCAAAGCACCACCATCAAGTTGTTATCTTGTAATTAAAAATGCTACGACGGATGGACGGAAAGATACGGTGGCACAAAGGTGACATGTGTGTGTGTTTTTATTTATCTCGTGGCCACGGGTTACTAAGTCGTGGCCACGAGATAGCTAAGTCGTGGCCACGAGATATTATGTCGTGGCCACGAGTTGCTAAGTGGTGGCCACGAGTTACTAAGTTGTGGCCACGAGATACTATGTCGTGGCCACGAGTTACTAAGTTGTGACCACGAGATAGCTAAGTCGTGGCAACGAGATACTATGTCGTGGCCACGAGTTACTGAGTCGTTGCCACGAGTTAGCTAAGTCGTGGCCACGAGATAGCTAAGTCGTGGCCACGAGATACTATGTCGTGGCCACGAGTTACTTAGTAGTGGCCACGAGATAGCTAAGTAGGGCCACGAGATAAATAACAAATCAGATTACACCATTTATATGAATTTCCCTAATTAACTAGACATGTGCTATAGTACAAGGGTGCCCCTACTTTACCAGCCTGTAAAAGTGCCATTTATCGAACTTATTGACTGGTCAATAATTTTACATTTAGCGTCACTGTGACCCTGATTTTTGACCCAATGACCTCGAAATTATTAGATGTCATATACTGATCAGGTGCAATGATCTTTCTGGGTTATATAAACCATGGCTTATCCCTTTTAAATTATTTATCAGACAAAGATTTTACCTTATAGACTATCTACTGTCCATGGGCAATGTTACAACGCCAAATGGAACTTTGACTTTATGACCCTAACATTAATAAAGGTCATGTATTGGACATGGTTGTACATCCTATACAATTTTACAACTGTAGGTTGATTAATACTTAAGTTATTGAGCAGAAACTGTTTTCAGTTTTAAGGTAATAGTGACCTTGACCTTGTAATCTAAAAATTAATAGGGGTCGTCTACTCAATATTGACACTCATCCTATGAAATTTGAACACTGTGGGCTAAATGATTTTTAAGTTATGCTCCAGAAACCACACATTTCAGTGTAAAGATCACTGTGACCCTGACCTATGACCTAATGACCCTAAAATCAATAGGGGTCATTATTGGACATGGATGTTCTTATAAAATTTTATAGCTGTACATTGATTAATACTTAAGTTATTGAGCAGGAACTGTTTTCAGTTTTAAAGTAATAGTGACTTTGACCTTTGACCTTGTTACCAAAAGATCAATAGGGGTCTTCTACTTTATATGGACAATCATTCTATGAAGTTTGAATATTGTGGGCTAAATATAACTTAAGTTATGCTTCAGAAACTAAATTGCTAACGGACGGACGAACGTACCAACTTTTGATGTTTATGAGGCAAATCAGCTCATAAACACCACCTGGACCAACGTCCATAAGCAAAATTAGCTCATAAAAAAAATAGCTCTTAATTTGAATTTTATGAGTTTTTGTTCTTTATTTAACTACGGAATGAAGCTCATAAATATCAAATGTTTGCTCGGACAGACAGACGGACGGACGCCAGGGGGTATAACATAATATGTCCGAAATTCTTTCGGGCATATAAAAATAAACAAGACATCTTTTTCATTAAAAATGATGATGTCTGCTTGAAAAAGATAAAACACAGTAAAAATCAAAATACTGTATCCGTTAAATAATAAAAACATGATAATATTACAAATTTATTACTTACGGAAAAGTATCTTCTTTAATCCATTCACAGTGTTTTGAAACAAGTGGTATGAAAATTTTGCACAAGGTTCATCTTTAAAATGTTTTCAAATGTTAATATGAAATCACAGTAGAACAACTGATCACAGAAAACTTAAAGCCATATTGCCTTTAAATAACAAGAGGCTATTTTATTCACAGTCAATGGAAATTCATTAACTCATACCTAAAGTCAATACAATTGTTTATTTATATTTCATATTCATGAATCAATATCAGACCTCTAAGTGCAATATCCAGAACACTTCTTGTCCCCGTCTTCCTCGTGACGTACCACTATAAAATCCTGTTTAAAGATAATATCCGACCCTTAAATAAATAAGCCTAGTACACTACACTCAGGACTAGAACACTCTTTAAATTTCTAAAGCGATCAATAATACGCGAAATTAAGTCACCTGTGACGTAAAACACATTGGAATACCCAAGACAGTATCTACTGTCAGTTTAATAAAAGTCACGCAAATAAACTGGTATTAGTATAAATTTGATGTGTGTTTGTAGAAAATATTTTAAAGAAATATAAAATATACTTTATTTGTTAAGTGTATTATTAATTTAAATGTTTCAATCTTTCATTTGTGCATGTACATTTATTATCATATATTTATTTGTATAATTATTATTATTATATAACCATGATTATACGGATATCACATTATCTGTTCAATGAAAAATTCAGATAAAATTTGAATAATGATTTTGCTGATATGATCATAAAATAGTTATTAAACTGTATAAACATATAACATTATAACATGTATTTCATCATTACGTGATTGTATTACGTACCAATACACGCTAATTCGGAGAATACTACCTACCTACCTACCTACCTACCTAACCACCCACCTACCTACCTTCGTATTTAAGTGTACCAAATCAGCCAACATAGTATGGTGGCTTATTTGTGCCATTCGTGTTTTCGCCCCGCGACTCCCCAAGCGAAAGGTCGAGAATTAACAACGTGAAACGGCGGGCGCGGAGTGAAACACGCTAATAAGCGGGGCACGGGATTGGCGTGTTTTCGCCCCGTCAAGCGAAAAGTCGAGAATTTACAAGTTAAAATGGCGAGAACGCGGAGCAAAAAACAAGCTTATAAGCGGGGGCGCGGAGCGGAGTTTAAGAAACAAAACGTTGTCCCGATGGGGGGGGGAGGGGGTGGATCGAGATTAAAGAAATAAAACGGCGGGGCGCGGAGTGAAACACGCTCATCAGCGTGGGCGCGGGGCGAAGTTTAATAAATTAAACTGCGCCCCGTGCCCCCGCTAATGTCACCATTTTAACTTCCTAAATCTTTTCTTATACTTGGCAGGGTCGCGGAGCGAAAACACGAAAGACACAAATCAGCCACCATAGCCATGTTAAATACTCTATTAGATGCTTCAAAATTCATTAAACTTCGCTCGCGTTTTCGCTTATGAGCGTCTTTTCGCTCCGCTACCGCCTTTTTATTTCTTTAATTTCGCTCCGTACGTTTATGTAACAAACTTCGCCTCTCACCCCGCTAATTAGTTAGCGTGTTTTCGCTCCGAGTCTTGCTATTTTACCTTCTTAATTCTCTACTTTCCGTTTGGCAGTGTCACGTATGGCACAAATTAGCCACAATAGCCATGTTCAGAATTCTATTACATGCTTCAAAATAAGATAAGATTAAATGCTTACCAAAAAGCAACATAGGTAAAATATGATTCGGATAATTAGGATTTTAAAACTATAACAGGTAAAAAAACAATAAATAGCCTTTGAGAATTAAAAGTAGTTCCTTGGGCATGATGGGCCTTTTAAAGTATTTTGTAAAAGTCAAATAACTTTCCAACAGCACTTTTCTGAATATTATATAAGCTTTACCTTCACTTTTGGTTATTGCTTATAATAACAAGTCCTTCTTTAGCTTTAAACGACCATATACGATGTTATAGCGGTACATGTACTTCACATGATAACACTTTAACACACTTTCAAACAGGATGTATCACTATGCACAATCACGTATTCACTAAATGATTTGGAGCGTGGTATATAAATATAGGGACACTCATATAACGTTTGAAATGTCGGTCAAATTAAAAAAAAATGTTTACAGTGTACCACATTGCTCTCGACTATACAAAACTCTAGATACTACTATGTTGTGATTGATTGATATATATATGTTACTTAAATACAACACTTGTTCATTATTCGAAAAATTAAACAAGGTATCAGAATTAAAGTAACAAAAAACTGTAAGTATCAAATAACTCAATGTGTCGTTATAACTGTTAAGCAAAGAAACGGTTATATTATATTGACTGTAGGGATAAATGATTAAAATAAATCCTGACATATCAGGAAATGTATCCAGATCAAAATATACAGCAAAATACAAAGCAAACAACAATAATATTCCTATTAATATGACGTCGCTTTGAGATATTATGCTTCTGGGCAAAGCAATGTCTTATCGAAATTGCTCAAAAACCCATACACTGTAGCAAGTTCCGCAAGAAAATCTGGTGGAATGTAAAAAAAAAACAATTAAGACAGCATAAATTAACATTAATTTTGACCTATGTATGAACAAATCTAAAAAATAAATACCTTTTAACAAAATATTTTAACTGTCACATCCGAACAATCATGATTAAAGCCTCGCTCTCATTGAAATGAATTCATTATACAACCGATTAACAAATAACCACCATACAGTGCGCGAAATCTGATAGGCTAATTCAAATGCAAGCGTTTAAATGAGACAGAAGTTTCTAACAGAATATTTTTGAACGATATAATTGCCCATGGACAGCATGTTCGTTATATATTTTTCCGTTCAAAAATTTGGAATCAATCTTTAAAGCGCTGTACTTAACCAGTATGGCCGATAGACAAATAGATTGATGTTTATATTTTATTTTATATGAGAGTTTTTGTTAATGATTGAGCATGAAATTGAAAGAAAATAGGTAAGCTTTGGAATAAAGCTTGAAAGGCAAGACAATAAACATTTTAAATTTTTTTATGATGCTCTGCGTTTATGAGCATATCTATTAAAGGTCGGGCTTGAACGACATAAACTATAACAAGCCTGTAACGTCTGATATATTGGACTTACAACAATAACAAAAAGTAATTATAACAAACACAACGTTATTGTATCCTTTCACTCCAACATATAAACTTACTAATGTTTGATAAATCAGTTGAAAAAGTAAGACACATGATTTTCTAGCACTTGCGTTCAAGATCATGACCATTTGAACACCTCTTGATTTATCAAAGTCAAGAAAACTTAATATGCAAATATCGACATTTCTGCTTATACATATTGACATGTACGAAACACGCAAGATCTCCGGATGTGTAGTTGTATCACACTATAGTGTACTTTAATTCAATAATGGTGTTTCAGACACTTAATTTCCTTTTTATACGTTTCATCTACTTGATACAAATGTGTTATTTGTACGTTAACTAGTTAACAGTGATGTTTCAAGGGAGAGTATATTGTACGATGGTTTTATAGTACTGTAATATTTCAATTATATTCAAATAGTTTATTTCTTGTCAATATTATAACTATCTGTACCAAATGGTATATCAGATTAGATTTTCTTGTGTATCTATCGTATATCCGATATAAAAACGGTTTACAGTTGGAACGATTCATTTTTCATTGATGATTGATGTTTTGGCTTTGAAGACAATGTGGATAGACTTCTATGACCTGTGGATATTCTAGAAATACAGATTTAGTATGCAAAAGACGTTTCTAAATACATTTAAAATACATTATTCTAGAACTAAGAAACACGCGTCTGTAGCGTAACGACTGAATAAATGACAACTATTATTGTTTACAGTAGTTTAAAGCAGTTACTATGATATTTGTTGTAATAAATGAACCCATTTTAATGAAGCAATATATATAAATCGTTCAACAACCATTTGTTTATATTCGCTCCTTAATATATCAGTAGAATGGTTTTGGTCGTTTATATTCGTTCCTTTGCATAACAGTAAAATTGTTTTGGTCTTATCACAACACTGATATCAAAGTTCTCGGAAAGTCTCGGATCACACGAGATGCGCTTTCCTTCGGGAAACTCAAAACACCAGCGCTGCAATAGATTACTGACATACAGAAAATAACGCGTTCTTGCAAAGGCCTCTCCAGGACATTGACGCAATCCGTTCCCAAAGGGTATCAAGCTGAAACAAGAAAGAAATATGTTACAATATCAGTCTTCTCTCCTTTATTTAAGTTTAAGCTTATTATTATAACGTTCTTTTTATGTTTCCATGAGATAAAGATATAGTTTGAAAAACATTATATGCATATAACTCTACAAGTATAGAAAAATTAAAATAGTTTACTTCTTTCTCAATGTGTGTTCAGGCGGTAGCAAATTTCCATGTTCGTCTAAGAATCTCTCTGGCCGAAATATCCATGGATCTCCCCAAATGTCCGTGTTGTGGTGCACATACCAACTATTCCCAATTATCTTGAACCAAAACAAAAATGTGTTTTAGTTCGTTGTATTCTTGCAATGAGAAATTTGTCATTCTACCAGAAACAATACTTTTCCAAATGATTTATATTTTATTTAACGAAATAATTGAAATTGAAATTAAACGCTACAAAAGTCTGCACAAAATTAATGATCTTTTTGCCGGATATTAAGGTTCCCTTCCATCTTTGTTTCCAAGCCACGACTATGGTAAAATATATTAATCTTCTTGTCACGATACATAGTGTATTGAATGCTATGTTTCATTATCAGTCATTTTTGTAAATCCTTTATAGAAAAAAGATTGCATGCTGTATATCGAAATATGCTTTCTACCCTCAACAGTTAGCTATATATACGAATGAACTTGGTTAGACTTTAACTACATAAAGGAAAGTAACATGGCTCTTTGGTGATTTAATTGTTCTGGTGGATGCAAGCATCATGACCTGGATGTGATTGGAAAATGTGCATATAAAAACAGGCAACATGACCTTAATGTGTTGAGATAATGTTCAAGTGAAGACAGGCAACATGGCAGTCGACATATTACACAATATATACGCAACATGTCCTGCAATTAATAAGATAGTGTTGAAGTAGAAGCAGCTTACACAATCTGCAGATGATAAGACATTGTTAAAGCTGAAACAGACAACATGACTACTCGGTAGTTAGATAATATTCAGATAGAAGAAGGCAAGCTGACATTCGACAAGATAGACAATTTTCACCCGAAAGAAGGCAACATGATGCGAGACAGATTAGACAATATCTACATGCATAATGACCTAAAGGTAATTAGATAACAACTATTTAGATAGAAGCATACACAGAAGACATTAATGTGATTAAATAATAGTATGGAGGAAACAGGCAACATGTACTGCAGGTAATTTAATTATTGTAGCAGGAAGTATAACGTTAAGGTGATAAGATTGAAGTGCGCCTTTGTTACTAGTAATATTTTAGAACCTTTCATAAAGTTTTATAAAGGTTAGTTATAGATTACATACTGTACTGTTCATAGAAATATCATATCCTTCAAAGTCTACGTCTGTTTTGCATTTGTGGGGTAACATAAGCGGGGCAACGGGAATGTATCTATGGACTTCCATCTCAAAAGCTTTGAAAAATGTACAATTATTTCTGTCCTTAAATGTCGGAAGTCGTTCTCTTCCAATTTCCCTGTCAATCTCATTCTGGAGCAGCCTCTGATATTGTGGATGATTTAGCAATATGAGCATTGTGTTTGAAAGAACTGACCAAGTTGTTGTGATTCCTATAATGAAACAGAACATACAAATAAATCATGCTGCAAATTAAGATTTTGGATTACCCGACAGCCCAAGGGCAAGTCGTAATAAACGACATCTATGATTTTAAGAAGATACAAACAAGATGACTGTTTTTAACTGATCTGTTACATAGAAATAAAGATTATTGCATACTGAATACAATTGGTACAAATGAGTTTTTTTCAAGTGGAGTTTGATAAAACGTAAATGTAATGTGAAATCAATCCACGCCAGACTCTCGTGATTTAATCGAAGCAATAGCTCTGTTTGTAATAATAATGGTGAATGACTTTAATCTTTCGCTGTAAGCAAAATTATAATATGTTTACCCGCATCTATAATGTCAGTCACTTGCGCTATAATATTATCGTCCGTAAAGAAAACCTCTTCTCCAGATTCCGTTTGCTGAATTTGGTCCTCAAGAAATACATCTACGATACCACGAACTTGTCCTCTAACAAATGTGGTCTGTTATTTAAAAAAAGCACATCATAACTATTAATTTGACAAATTGCATTGCAAAACCTTACGAACATGTATCTGTGTATAATATTAAATTTATAGAAAAGAGTAATTAAAAAGTACTGTCATATAGATATGGATTGTCTCAATATTTTTACCAGAACAATATTTTTCCAAAAGATTAATATATACAATAATATAAAACCTTTACCAGTATAAATAAATATTGTACAAAAGGCAATTTAGAAGATACACAACCAATATAAATCAAAACAAATCCATCCTCCAAAATAAATAAATAATAAAAAAGAAAACAAATTAACGAAGATAAATAAAACACACCTTCACATCGTGAAAATATTTCTTTACAATTTTGGCATTGACAGTCTTTGCCTTTAGAAATTCTGTTCTGTACCTTCCAGGTATGTATCGTGCGAATGGAAAAACTGACATTATGAAGTTTACATAAGAATTCAGAAAAAAGTCTTCAACGTGTATTTCATCCACGAACATGTTCTTTTCTTTTTCATCGTCTAAAACTGGTTCACCAATCAACTGCAAAAAATGAAATCAACTTATATTGTGTGTAAGAAAGTTAAATTTAAAAACATAACATATCTAATTTGAAAAGCTTAATTGCTAATTGAATAACAGTATGATATAATATGCAAATTTATAAGGTTCCATATATTACTGGGTAAAATCTATCTTTTAGGATTGTATGAATATGACATCAACATGTTGAGATTTGAATGTCTTAAATATAACATGAAGGTCAAGTGCAAAACCCTAAATAGATATCACGAACTAACCATAAGAGACAGAACATTTGAAATAGAGTGAAGAATCGTAGAAACACATTCAAATGTGTGCGTCTCCTCAATGTTCGTTTGAAGACGAGATAATTCAGTCATGACATTATTCTCTAAATCATGTAGTCCACAGCCATATGCATGCAGAGCTTGCGTGACATGTTTCCTTGCAGTTCTGTGAAACTGTCCGGTCCCGTCAATTACATAACTTAAAGCTTTGCTATTACAAGCAAAGTGCTTCCCGTAAAACATCTCTGATCGATCATTAAACACGTGCTTGTATTTATCACTTCCGAAACATTTTCTAATAACCCGTTCACTATTCAACACTACAAAATCATCAAAAAGTAGTTTAACTTGGAATATTTCACCATATTGCTCTGCATATTCTGATAACTTAAAATGCATGTTCTCATCATCAATTTCCAAGATACTTCCAAGTATAGGCAGACCTTTTGGTCCGACAAGCACTTTACCATTTCCTTTCCTTCGTTTACTGAATAAAATGTAGAGTGAAAACATTGCTAAAACAAAACAAAACAGTTCAAACTCCATTCTTTTGATACAATCATACACACTGTATGTATTAACAGAACTTATATCGTTTGATGTTTGGTATTTTGTTTATTTTGTAACTAAATAATGTATCGTGAAATGTACCGATAATTTATTATACACAAGCACACTGACACACTTTTAAATGTTGTGCATTATTCAAGGTCGCTGATTCGCTGCGTGCAGACGATGCATAATGCAGGATTAAATAGTTTGTTGAACACAGCTTTTTGTATGTAGCTTATTGCGCAGTTGCAGTAATTGAAAATACTACAAAATAGAAATATCTTACATATTCTAGTGGTCTTACATATTCTGGCGGGCAATTGTGCAATAAGTTGAACGTTAAACTGTATCCAAAGTGTAACGTCGACACCCCTGTTAATATTCCCATACTCTGCGATTAGCCATGAAAGAAATAAAATAATTATGATTAAAGATAGTTATTGACAACACACTGAACATTTAAAAAATATTTGTATTTTTTTTTTTTTTGGTATCATTGACGCCTGTAAGGTTTAGATATACATGTATATACATAACAAAGGCAATTTCATTAAGATATACATGTTAAACGTATATTTTTCACAATAAGTTCACCTGGTTTGAAATATGTTTTTATAGTTATACAATCTTTGACACAAGTCTGTCACCGATTTATTTGTCTTATGAAAACTGATGAGCGGATATAAAGAGTAAAAAGCTGCAAACATATCACAATACATAAATGTGCATATCTAATTGAAACAAGATGAGGGTAACATGAAATTTAATTACAGAATAACAGTGTACATCTTTTAGGTCTTTTGAAACCCCGTTTACAAATCAATCTTCAGGTGTCATTGAAATAATCTGTGCAGTCATAGCAATATTTGATACTATTTTACCAACGATTACTCTGTTTTATGGTGTATTTTTGGCGTAATGTAAATGAAAAGCCGGTATCAGAGGGACTTCCTCACATTGTTAACAAGTAGATTATACTTGTTTTGTGAATATTAACTTAAATGTTGTTTTTCTCAAAATTTTATAGGTCGTCCATTTTAATTTAGAAATATTATTTGTAGAAACAACCAGTATTTTCATTTATTAATGAACATAAATGACATTTAAAAAACAATTCGGTAAAATTTAACAGTTTTGATATTCTTATACAAAAGAAAAAAAACAAAAAAAAACAATTAGTTTCTTTGAATGTTAATATTCTAGAAAATGCAATATTGTTTAATCGGAGCTTTCCGTTAATTGTTAAATGCAAATTTAAGCCCATGTAATATTAATGCAATGCAACACATAATCGAATTATTATGTTGCTACTTAAAATGTAAGAGAGTGGTCATATATAATTAACTTATTGCATTTTAGTTTCATACAGATTTTAATAATGAACAGACCATTTGTTTCCTATTAAGAATTGAAAATGATCTATATTTTCTCTCTGATATATTTTGATTTAGTAAACATCTTAAAAAGCAGGATGTTTCGGTTGTACCTGGTAAAGTCATGGATTTCATGTTATATATATATATATATTAAAAACTGGAATCAAAGTGATCCCTCGGAAGCATTAATCACAACCAAATAACATGAAAATGGCAGACTCGGTTTCATTGAGTCTGTACATGAAAAATAAGGAATATGTGCAACATCCATCACGTCCCCAAGCACCAGCTTGATTGGTACTCAATTCTCAACACTTAATATTTGGCATCAATGATCAAGAAAGACCAGAAAAAATATAACAACACTGAAGTGAAGATCGGGGCAACTTTTTACAGCTGCCTAACAACACTTGACACCTGCTGTTGTGAAGTATGAAAATCGGGAAATAAAGTTATCCCTTGGATGCATTAGTCACAACAAAATGTATCACATGACTGAATATATTTTTAAGCTGAGTTTATATGGTCCTTATAAAAGATATATCGGAGTTTCGAAAAAAAGTTCCTTATAAAAGATTTTTCTGATTATCCAAATAATAGTCCATTCTGAAATATCTGATTTTCTGAATAATAGAAACTGTTAAACTAGAATCTAGATTGTGTGTTAATTCAAACATGATAATCATTATTATATGATTTACAATTGTCCATGCTTGCAATTGGTTGATAAGCAGTCACAGTCATTTTAAAGTGAGATTATATATGTCATCATACAACGATAAAAATGAAAAATACGATTAGCTTGCCGTCAACACAAAAACATAAGGCTCCACAGCAAACATATAGTTCCATACCAAACTATACTACTCAACATTTGTTACGCACCATATGTTTGAGTGTGAATATGTTTGGGATAATTTTATTAACGCCTTTCGAAAGATTTTAAATATTGATTTACTGTATTATTATCAGTTTAGATGAAGGACGAAGTTAACCCTATAAATGAGGTTTACACTGATTTTGTGCTAGAGAAAAGGATGACCCCACCCTCTTTGAAGATTTCAGAACATGCAGTGTTTTCAAAATTTGTTAAATTGGATTTTTGGTTTACAGTTTAGACGTAATACAGTGTGTGTGACCCGTGACTATCAATGACAGATGGCAGCGTCTTCTCATACCCTTTTAGGTTTCTGATCGTTTTAACGAGTATGGCTGCCCATTCTTGGACAGAGATGGCTCCAAGCTCCTGGATGGTTCTGTGTTGCATGACGAGCTGATATTCTAACCAACAGCTTATTCCACATGTGTTCTATTGGATTAAGTCAGGTGAGCGAGCTGTCAAATCCATGAGCTCAATAGTCCTGAACAACCCTGGTACTATGGGGACAAGCATTATCGTCCATAAGAATGAACTGATCGCCGACTCCTCCAGCATACAACCTCTCATGGTCCACCGTGTTAGCTCCATGGTCCATTCTAAACGGGTCTGGCGATGTCGACGCGTCAAGGGAATACGAATGCAAGATCTTCTTGACCGCAAATTTATGCAGCGTTCTACGTAACGTCTGCGTGGAGACATGGACCTTTGCAGCATTTGCAAAGTCATTTCGAACAACAGTTGCTGTCTTAAGCCTTGTACGACGTGCCTGAATGGCCAAACACATCGATCCTGAGCTGTGTTGTGACCTTTTACCGACCTCCAGCATGCTTCCTGGCGTGTTTACCATGTAGCCGGTAACTCCCCCATGGTCTTGTGATGACCAAGCGCCGCACCAACCTAGCAGAAGGTGGCCCCCTGCTGTATCATCCCTACGGCCCTCAATTACTCTGCTACTCTATAATACCGCCTAATGTTAGCATTCGCCATATAAAAGTGACATATTTAAAATATGTAAGCCGTTGAATGTCAACAGGCCGGTATTATTCCCGTATAACAAAAGACATATGATTGTACAAACTTCAAAAAACATGAAATATTGGGGTGCATGCTTTCAATGCAACTAGACGAATTGTTACTGATTAGTCAACACGGATTCATATCAGGGGACTATCTCGAAACATTGCTGAATCAGAATTAGTAAAAATTGTTTTTTACTTGTGATAATATAAAAATTAACTTATGGTGCTTAGCAAAATTTAAGTAGTCTATTTTGCATTATAGATGAATACCAGAAGAATGAAATAAACTGTTGCCAAAAATCTATGTCACTGGGTCAAACTAGATAAACTGTTAACTAAATTCAATTCCTTCTTAGCTGAAACAATGGGAAAAGTATTTCGTCAAAAGACCAAATTCTTAATCCACCATGAATCAACCAAAAAACAAGCAGGAAATGGAAAAAGTTTTAGGTGCTTAATTTTCTGTCAGTTCAATGTTTGCCAAGAAATCAACACCGGGTACAAAAATACACAATAACAATTTTAAAACAAAACTCATTTTTTCAAATACAGAGATGACCTGGTATTGTTTTGCAATACTCAAATACCAAAAAAAACCCACACATTTTTGATAAACAGTGTAACTTTATAGTATATGGTAGTACATGGTAATGACTAGTTTGTATCGATTGTGACTATTTTTCATACTTTAACATTGTAACACCTAAGAATGAAGGAACTGTGATATTGTAGGATAACGTTGACCTAGTTGACCTAAAAGAAAGAAAGGTTAATGTTTTGTTTGGTCCCGACAGTATTTTTATTATCTATAATAATACATACCTGATTATACTCTGAGAAATAGTAATTTTGAATACTTCGTTATCATTTTATCAATATAAATCACACTTGGGCTTATATATTTAACTTAATCATTTAAAAAACAGATTTTTAAACTTTCATAATCGATGAACAAACAGAATTGTTCGGACCTAACTGTTTTTTTTATAAAGTTATTTTCTTGTTTAGGTGTTAGTATATGTCCTTTTTTACACAAGGCAAACATATTGTTTTATTTAAGTTATAGCGGCTCGGGTTATATTTACAAATAGCCGTTAAAAATAAACAGAAAGTGTTTATTGCACACCGGCCTCGAGGCTAGCGTGTGATATAGTGTACATAAGATAAAAATTCCATGGGGAAAACTTGGTCTGTGTGCTTGACGTCATAAGGCCAAAACAAAATGATCATGAGGTTCTGGTAGCATGCTTAAAAATAATAGGGTAGGTAGGTCGGAAAACATTTTTTTCTATTATTATCTTATTAAAATCTAACTGTATGTCAGATATACACACTATAGGATACTCCGTTTTTGCAATAAAATGTTCTATGTTAGGTGCGGAAATATACGGTCAGTCAGGTTACCCGAACAACAAGATTATTTTGTTTTAGCCTAATCTCCCGTGAATGAGTCTCGTGAGAATTGTCATTTACTTTTTTTTCACATGGACTAATATCATTATATAATTGAGTTATAATAATTATTTGAAACAAATACGCGATGAAATAATTTGAAATGAAAAAGAAATGCTTTTTTAGACACGTAACTAAAGTTCTTGCTTAAAAAAACAACATCCAATGAAAAATACGTTATTCACACCACGTGGTTTACACATCGGGGTGACGAAAGTTAGCGAAAGTGACTTTAAAAATATGAATTATAGCGTTTAAAAAGAGTTTTACAATAAAATTACTGCAGTTTGCAGACGAATAATATTAGAAACTAATAATATTTATTATCAAACATAATCATAATTTTGATTTAATCGCCATTCATTTGCATAATTTCTAGACACAAGTTCTGAGATCTTCCTTTTGCTCACATTAAAAAATACGAAAGTGACTTATAAGATATAAAAATGCTTTTAAATTA